TCTTTGCAGCTAACTATGGGTGCGTATAAGTATTTTCTTTTGGACAGAGTTTGGGCAGAACCATGAACAAGACCAGTACTTCCCATGTTATGTACCTGCCTAGATTGCTTGTGTCAATCCATGGGCAGAAGTTTTAATTGGCAGGGCAGCCAGAGTACACACAAACTTTCTACACTTACCAGCAGCATAAGATAGGTGGCCAAGCTGAGATTCTTTACACAGGCAGCCATAGGGAAAGAATGTCGGCCAGAAAATGACTTACCCTTAGCAAGACTCAATTTCCTTTCTTCCTTCTTAATTAGGGTGTTTCTGGAAACATGTTTTTGGCTTTCTTAAATACAAATACAGATGCTTAACAGGTATGCCACATCTTTCAGCATTACATGTGCACTTTTGACTGATCTTCATTTTACCTTCGGTTTTAACTCCTTTTAGTATCACACTCTGAAATTTTTGTGTACTATTACATAACTTTTACGTTAAAGAGGAACTGAGTTCTTGAAAGCTGTGTCCACAAAAAGCAAGAAAGGACAAATAACTAGTCACCAGTGTTTCTTTTCTAAGTGAGATAGGACACGGTTTATATTCCCTAATGGTCCAAAAAATGATCCCCTCCATACCTAGCACTTATCTAGCATTAGATACAATCAGTATTTTCAGCACAGCTGGCAGTGCCACTACCCAAGTAAGTGACCTATTGCTTACTATTAAAAAGATACTAAAAGCAGAAAGGACAGTCATACCAGGGATCGATTGGAATATTTCCAACAGTGTTTCATAGACTAAGGCCTGATTTACATTAGTGCATTGTGGTGAAGTATTAACATTCATTTAATGGCTCATTACCGCAATGTATCTTACTGCATGGTTCTATGTGGATTGAGCTGCGGTGCCATTCATTTGAGGTGGTACCTCAACACACATGCCATTTTGCTCACCACAATGTGATCGCAGATGTGAAAAGTTTGTCATGAAAATGCAGCTATGAAAAAAAATTCATACAGGTGCAGTAAAACCTAATATGCATTGAATGGTCTGCCTTAACACACGTTAACGCATGTTAGCACGTAATAACATGTATGCATGTATGCACCACAACAGAGTGAATCTGGCCTTAATGATAAGATTAGAAGTTTGAACTTCATCCCATTTAATCAAAAAGAGAAAAATCTATTTGTGTCCATAATATTTACTAGAAGAAGGATGCTTGTCCCACACATTGCAAGGTATTGATGTGTTATTTCCTCTTCATTATTGTGTCAGCTGGTCTTGCCTATCTCTTAATCATCTACGATAAAATATGCATTTTTTTGGGCCACTGCGTTGTACATCACATGTTCAGGCACGTTCACATTGCCATCAGCCATACCAAACAAATCATTAAGAAATATGGGTCATCTCTAACAAGCTTAGCAAGGCAGCAATCTCTCCAAGGAAATAAGAAGATTTATCTGTGCTTTGTGTAATACGAAGCAAGCACTACAATCATCCGCATGACAAAGGGTCTCAGGCACTGGCATTTTGAAGAAAACATTTTATTTATTTTTTTTTTCTCCCAAAGAAAGAAAGCAATATAAAAACAGAGTATAAAACTTGCATGTAATACAGTGACATGGGTATATGGATACAGGGAGGGGAATAAGCCTATATATATTTTTATAATATGTAGATATAGTTCAGTATTAGACACATTAAAAAGGACAGATGCATTTCAACTCATGTACATTGAGATCACAAACCACACATAAAGATAGGAGAATATTAAAATACTGCTGTCCACAAGTTAGCTACTGGGATGAAATAAGCACTTAATTCTTACAAGACAATAGCATCTCTACAATGACATATTATTTTTTGTTTCAATAGAAAGAAAAGAAAAATAGCAAAAATGCCATCTACCGCTAAAAGACTCACGTAACTGCCTTAGTTATTAGTATCACAAGCAGTGAGAATGGTTAGTGAGAATGGTTACTATTATTACAAGAGACATGGAGGAGGGTGGTGAACGTTTTCATAATTTTTTTTTTCTTTTTTTTTTCTTTTATCTAACCTGATACTTATGTGAAGGAGAGAGAAATATAGCAAAGCAAGATGCTGAGTTACACTACATTGGCGTAAAATGTAAGAATTTGGAAAAAGCAAATTACTATATTATTAAAAGCAACATCAGTGGTCTCAAAAAGGCAATTTCTAAAGAAGCTTGGCCAAATTCATCATAAATCACCAGTGGGCACAGTGTCCAATATTCTACCTCCCTCTGCAAACAATATAGATATAGAGGCTTATTTAATAATGGTATATAGGGCATTGATCACCCGTAATGTGCCGTATTCCACATTAACCGGTCTGAATTATTCTTTCTTCAGTATACAGCAGTCAGTAGATGATTTTTGATTTTGTTATTATGGTCTACTGCTCTTTTCACACTGGTCTGCGCCTTATTAAATGAGCCAGAACATTTTAACAGGTAAATTAACATTTGTACAAGTACAAAATTCACTTGTTCAGTAGTTGCTTCATAAAATAAGCCAGTAGAACACTTTAAAATGTGTCCATTTTTTCTCTCTCTAGGATGTCATTTCTCGTGTAAATAAGTGGAACTGTAAGAATTATTTTGATGTTTAATCTATAAGAAAGTATGATTGTGTCTTAGTCACCTCCCCCAGTGAAAGTACTCAATATGCCTAAACATTTTTCCCTGCACTACACAGGCTTACTTTAACCATTCTATATAAAGAATGAATGACCCCCATGCTGGTTACATGCAACAAAGTCCCTACATCTGGTGGAAAACTGTAGACACCATGTGAACATTAGACATGCATTTCTGTGTGCAGAAGTGTAGAGAACCTGGTTTACCACCTTGAAGGAGCGAGTTGACATGGAAAATCTCATTCGTGTTTGCTGTACATCAAATCATGTGAACCTTTTAATCTATAATTGGGGGAACTTACATATTTTTTTCTTTCAGAAAATAAACAAAACATCAACAAGTACAGTATTGAAAGAAGTACTGCACAAGACCATTGACACTCTTGCTAAGTAGTAGTTGTACAATCACTACATATATATTTGTTTTTACATATTTAAGGAAAATAAACTCAAAGTGTTTTCATTGCTCATACTCAGTGGAGGCAGCCAATTTGGCAAGCTAGTCTAGCTCTGGTCTTTTAGGACTACAGTCAAATTTTTGCAGGTGGGGCACATGTGTTTTAGTATAATGGCGCCTTCACTTCTTGTAGGTAATGAGAACACAAATTGTCCAAACTTGCCAATAGTTCCAGACCAAATGACAAAGTGGGCAGAGCATAACCTAGCTGGAAATATTTTGAACTGGGCAAAATTTGACTCAGGATTTGAAAAATTGGCAAGTATGATTCTCCAGTTTTTATTATCACTTTATCAGGGCTCACCTGCCTAACGAAATGTATTAAGCCCTTTAAGAATATATATATATATATATATATTTTAAATTCAGGT